GGGGGGAGGCTTAAATCATTATACTTGTAAATGTTCCAGATGCCTTACAGTCCCACTTACTGGTTCACAATCTGCTGTTGTAAAGACACTGTAACCAATATTGTATGTCCCAAGACAGTGAAGACATTCTCATTTAAAGAGACCTCGTGTTGGGAGAATTGTTTTTTAAACAAGCCTGACAACAAGCAGAATAGCAGGAGCTAGTAGCTAATATTAGGCATGCCTGTCTAGTTGGATGCATCTTCAAAAAGCTGAAGCATTTCAAGCATGATGTTTTTTCCAAACAAGGACAGAGTTACCTTCTTCAACAGCTGCTCAACTTCTTGCATCTGCGTGCTACGATCAGTGACGGACACTTTTGCATACTCCTGCTTTTTGCTGAGCCTGCTCTTCCAGTCTTCTTCACCACTCTTCTTCAGCAATGCCAACCTAGAAGAAAAACAATGAAAAGAGGTAGCTTTAAACACCATACTTCCCGTTATCCTCCAAAGCTCCCTTTATTGTTTCACTAGTGCTGCATTCAAGAGAAATTGAAATTAAGTTTTCTAACATTAACTACAGTTATTTACATTTTGTACATATATACAAAGCTCACAAACAAACACCAAGCCTTTACTGAGCATGTTGAATGGGAATCGTCTGTCAAAACACAGATATCTAGATCTGAGACGGGCATCCCAGTTAATTTGTATAGTCAGAGGAGAAGGCTGAGGTACTCAACTTTTTTGCCTCAGGCTTCCCTGGTAACCTCTTCTCCTCACCCCCTCAAGCCGATGGACCACACACAGTATGGGGACCAGGGGGTTAAAGCCCTATACATTGTAAGGGAGTATCAGGTTCATGTCTACCTGAGGAACCTGAACATATGTCTATGGCACCTGATGAGATGCATCTCAGAGTCCTGCAGGAATTGGCTGATGTAGTTGCCAAGCCACTCTCCATAATATTTGAAAAGTCATGGCAGTCATGTGAAGGCCCTGGGGACTGGAAGAAGGGAAACATTGTGCCCATCTTTAAAAACGGTAGCAAGGAGGACCCTGGGAACTACTGACCTGTCAGCCTCACCTCTGTGCCTAGGAAGACCATGGAACAGGTCCTCCTAGAAGCTATGCTAAAGCACATGGAGGACAGTGAGGTGATTCAAGACAGCCAGCATGGCTTCTCCAAGGCCAAGTCCAGCCTAACCAACTTAGTGGCTTTCTATGATGGAGTGGACATCAGTATGATCAGTGGACAAGGGAAAAGCAATGGATGTCATATATCTGGACTTCTGTAAAGCCTTTTGACACGGTTCCCCACAACATTGTTCTCTCTAAATTGAGGAGATATGGATTTGATGGGTGGACTGTTCAGTGGATTAAAAATTAGTTGGATGGTTTCATCCAGAGGGTAGTGGTCAATGGCTCGATGTACAAACGGAAACCAGTGACAAGTGGTATATCTCAGGGGTCCATACTGGGACCAGTACTGTTTAATATTTTCATCAATGACATAGACAGTGAGATTGAGTGCACCCTCAGCAAGTTTGCAGATGATACCAAGCTGAGTGGTGCGGTTGACACG